TCCTATAGATAAATATTGTGTAGATAAAAAAAATTGAACTATAAATACTTTCATTTAGACTAAAATATGAATTTTTATATTCAATTAATTGATTTACTAAAAAATATAATCCTGTAATAATTGTAAATATTGATATTTTTATTCTTTTGTAAAAATTATTATTAATGAAATATATATGTCTTAAAGTAATAAAAAATTTTGAAGTAATTAAAATAAATATATTTAGTATTGGAATTTCAATATAATTAAATACTTTAATTATTTTTGGCGGTCATATCGAATTAATTTCAATTGATGAAGAAATTGATTTATGAGAAAGTGTTCAAAAAATGGAAATAAAAAAATAATTTAGAAATAGTAATTATAATTATTGTAAATTTAAGTACAATTTTTAAATTTTAAACGTATGATTACCTATAAACAATGTCCTTTCACGAATAATGTCTCCATTTCATAAAATTTTACTTGAAGGCCATATTTGCTGATTAAAGACGGCATTCGCTAGTTTAAGGTTCTTGGTCACACTGTTGCCTATCCATTCGCAGAACTTCGCTGCCAAAAATATATTTTGACTAATAAATTTTGATAATATTTCAAGCGACTGCCAACACAATTTTATTATGCTTTATTAATTGCTAAATATATTGTACATTAATTAATTAATTAATAGGGAATTTATTTCGAGCTATTTTATTTCATTTGAATCCATTTTACTATATTTTATTACATTCATATATTTAATTATTTATTGCACATTAATTTGTTCAAAGTCATACGATATTAATATTTTATCATATCTCTACTTTATGTACTTGGACGGACTCTCCAACGCTGCTAGAAATTAGCTGAAGACTGCTGAAAACGAACGATGCTTTTAGGCATCGTCATTTTCGAATTTCCCAGAAGTGTTCAAGTGCCCCGGGATATTACGATATTGATCGACGATCTTGAAGAAGGACACCGTGTATCAGAGGTATTCCAACTAATATAACATCTAAAATTGCATCATTCCTTCACGCGGTCGCGGTGGACGTAGGAATACATCGGCTCCAGCGCGTAAGCGCTGAAGGAAACGGAATGCCACTTCACGAGCGCGGAGTGTTCTAGTGAATTTGGAATGCTAATTTCGAAATTTCGAGATGTTACACAAGTTACCATTACGACACCGATCAGCATATTTAATATTTTATACATTTCAATTTTCCGTTTAGCGACAGGAAATATATTTTTATTTCCTGTGATATAATTTATTCATTTGACTGTTCATCATTTATCACTGACCGTATTTATTTTATGTCATTTATTTTATCTATTTATCTATTTATTTATTTTACCGGATAAGATAAATAAATAATCTAATGGTAATTATTATTTATTATATTTTTGTCTTTCATTCTGTTCAATTGCCCGCTTTTGCTCTCCGTTGCTCGCGATTGTGCCGAATGTATCTCCTTAAAGAGAAGATGGAATAGTTCCAAATTTTTAATTCCATTTTAATTTTGTTATTAGTACGCGCCATAATGTTATTTTACATTTCTAAAATTATTTTTCCCATTTATGTTATCCGCTGACAAATTCAGATTCGATAGGATTTTTATATTAACAAGTTGCTAGAATCCACGACATACAAGCTGTTAGTTTTAGTTAATAGAGAAAGGCGTATCAGACAGCCAGATTGATTCATTAATTATTAATTTATTTTAACTTATTTTACCATTTCCTTTGTAATTTCTATTCCATTTCTATTCCATTTCTATTCCATTTGTGACAATTCTGAGCTATTTCTGGCGATCGATATTCT